TTATCTGTAAAACAGAAAAAGCCAGCATAAACATGAAGAGTCTTGATAAGGCTCTAAAGCCAAAATTACAAAAAACTGTTTTTACAGTGTTATTTTCTGACATTGCTTTTTTCTCTCTCATTTCTCATTTGTTCAAAGGTGGCTATTTCATATACAAAAAATTTATTCTTTCATGTTCCAAGCTTCACCTGTTACACGTTTTTATATATGTGTATATATGTAATGTCGTAAAGTATAAAAAAAGTTCTTCTTTGGCTTCTGAACTGGTTTTCACATTTTGAAGTGTTTTTTGATATACACAATCACATTAAATACTTGAAATATGAAAATTCAAAATGTTCGCTTTTCTAATATATCACCTTTATTTTCTTAACAATTTTAATTTAAAAATTATTAAACCTTAGAAAATAAAAATGGGCAGATGGACATCTTATGGTAGTTTTATTTTTTGTCATGGAAATAGAACTGATACGTATCAATATGAAAACTCGTTGATAATGATAAAAACACTATAAAGGGTAAAAATATCTGAACTATCAAAAGTTTGTTTTTCTCTTATTGTCCCCATAAATGTGTGGAGGAGTTATGTCCCCTGAATGTTCCGGTGAACTATAAAAGCTTGGTGATTTAGCTTCGTTTATTGGTAACATAGTCCTCCCAATCCACTGGACTGTCAAAATGCTTTAATGGAAAAAAGCACAAAAAGAAGTCCACAGGAAGCTGTGCTGATAAAAGACATCTGTGTGGAGGGCAGGACTGCCAACCATGGTCATTATTGTTAGTCTAAAAACATCTTTTTGTATTTCAAAATCTTATGTTTCTTATCGTTTCGTCTCATAAATCTGTATGAAATGGGATGGAACCCCACCATCAAGGTGAAGCTGATACGAACAAAAATCACAGAAATCGTAAAGATTGGGTATTGCTGTCACTTTAGCAAGCTATATACTGCTATAAAAACGTGGCATCCTGACTTCTGTAATATACAAATGACGCTAATTAGCAGACCTGATAGCAGTTGTGTTTCAGGGTTGTATAATGATTATTGAAGACAGAGAGCACCAACATTAGCACTATATTAACAGAAATGTAGGAGATTCAGATATTATTGCATATACATATAGGGGGGATAGGATTGGAGATAACTGAAAACTCTTAAGTTTTGGAATTTATCTTTCTTATCTTTAATTTTGACTTAACTTTTGCCTAAAACCAAACAAGATAGAGATGAATTTGAAAAATAAGTTAATTGATAAAAATCATATTATTTCCATTTGAATTCATCATTCCAGGAGAAATCCTGTAAACTAAGTCATCCCTGGTGAAGAGAAACACAATACTTGCTACTGTTGGGGGTGATGATGGGAGAGATTGTGGTGACATGATGTTTATAGCACCATTATCTGGTCATTAGTGAGCCCCAAGGGTGTCTCCCCCTCATAACTGACCCTTAATCTATCTTTGTAAACTGCCATCAGATAGGTCTTCACTTCCTCACACAAACATGGCTGATCTTTTGTCCAGTGATATCCAACAATGGATGTCATTAATCATGATCTAACAGCTGTATGGGAAATACAGTTATTTGCTCTTAAAATTTAAGAAACATTGGTATATTGAATTCAACAAAAATCACAGATGTGTTGTTATAGTCATTTTTACACAGATGTCTGTGTTATATTATTTTGGAGAATTTTTTATGGTTCAAGGGTCATGGGTGATGAAATGAAGAGTTTCACAAAAACTCTACCAAACTATAAAGGAATGTTGAGCTGGTGAGCTGGCTTGGTATGTATACAGACAGAGGAAACAAAAGAGAATTAGAACGTTTGTAAAGAAGTTCAACATAATGAGTTTGGTTGAAAGAAATGGACCATACTGGAATAACAGGATGTGCTTTGTTCCAGCCCCATCGCCACGGAGACTATGTTTACTAAACATGTCAGGCCAGGATAAAACATGGTTGCCCCGTTACTGAGGAAAGTCTCCCGATACAATCAGGACTGGAATCGTAGGAATCCAAATCCCCCCAAAATACCAAAACCAAAGCATAACTTAATGTAAATTTCATGTACTGTAGAGGTTTGATAGTAATTCTATATACAAAAACCAATAGGTTTCATTGTCATAGACGCTCACAGATCATATTACTTCAGGTTTCATGGGAAATAAATTTTTGAATGCAGGGAACACATTTTCTCTCATAGACATAATTTCTCTTTTTTTCTTTAACTTTTAAATAAAAGAAAATGGGACACCTTATTTACTCTGTTTTATGATCATTTATTCATTTTTTCATAGTTTCTGTGAAAACATTTCACAGCATCATTGTGTGTTGTATATTTCATTGCCGAAGATTGTTTTCTCCGACTGACTTTGTATTTTAATCAGCTTTCTGCCCTATTAAGTATCAGATACTACATTGTTCTGTATATGAGCAGCACTTCAGTGACAGTGAGGAGATGAGGACGGTATGATAGGGGATGTAAGTGGGGATCAGAAGAAAGGGCTGACAATGCCCTGATCAATCACCACAACATGACTTAGTATAATAGATACTGACACACTGTCATAATTGCCGCTCCAAATTGATTTAAATTATCGCAGAGAAGGCACCCGCCACACACAACTGTCAGAACTGTGATAACTCGGTGTCATCTTGGTTGTACTCGGCTATGTCATTCAAGCCTCTAATCGATCAAGATCAACTGCTTCTAGACTCTCCTCAATACTCCACAAGGATATGTTACATTTTTTTTCTCATTTATTTTTAATCAAATGCGATGTTCACTTCTATTATAGATTGTAATTAATTCATTGATAAATGGCTTAAGCTACCAAACAATGGAATTTGTCTATATTTGTAATGAATATTAAGGTATTGTAAAATATTCTGTAGCTTAATGGACAAAGATGAAACGGATGTGGATTTGGTTTGCACATGCTTATCAAAGTGTTTTAATCTTCAATTCAGGTTTTGCAGGCATAGATTTTGCCTTTAAACGTTCATGTATGATTTCACAAGGAAGAAAGATAATCTTTTTAAACATGACAAGGCATTGAAAGAGTAACTAGGACTACAAAGGTTGATCCTGTCCAGCTCATCTTAAAGCGACTCTTTTGAAGAAAGTGCTCCCACCAAAACTTGAGGGATCCAATTTGTTGATAAATGGAGACGAAATCTTGTCATTTTTTTGTTGGAGAATGTAATTATGTCAATCAGTGATCAGTGCCAGTGTGATAATGTCCATCATAATTCCTCACACTCTGGTGGCCTTATCGCCACGACAACAAGATGGATGGTGGCGATACCAGCCCAGGCAGCCACAATGAGTGATGGCAAACAAAGAAAGCGCTGACACATCTGAAAAATGTAGCTTCCAATACCGGCTTCTGAGGTTGAGTCAATCACATCCTCCTGCCAATGATAAATATTAGATGGCATTTTTATCCACTAACAAACGATGTGTCGGGCCTCGGTAGAAGACAACTACCATTAGTTTTTTTTCCAATCCTTAGATAAGGACTCACAACTCCAGAATTTGCCCCAGTGTTCATGTATTTTCATTTATTATTTTTACATTTACAGGACAGACAAAAAATGAAACCTGGAGAAATTGATTGATATCAAAAACAAAAGTTGAAAAACAATATACAATAACAGCGATGGGGAAAAGTAATTTTCTTCTTCACCAAAGAGACATTTTGTCAATAAATCATAGGACTTGTAAGACGGGTTCAAATGAAAATTAAATGGTTACAATATCTCAAGACTAGCAATGCTGATTCTAGGAGACATGTGGCTATTTATAGGTGTGTCAAAGGTCAGCTCCGACTGAGCACAGGGACTGGGGGACAGGATCCATTTGTTGAAGCAGTCTGTTTACATTATATTATAAAGTGTCAGTTTTGGTTTCTGTACTGACAGCCTAGTCAGCCTCTGTAAACATGGCCCCTACTCTGGCAGACCCTGTTTACTCTGGTCCTAGGGCAAACTAAATTGTTAGTGATAACCTTGGCACTTCAGTGATGTCTGCTAGACAGGGGTCAAGGGACAGGAGACACAGTAAGTGTGGAACAAAATAAGCAGTAACTGTGAGAATGGCAAGGAGAGATTGTTGATGGTGTTTGTTTATAGACACAATCTACCAGTTTGAATTGATCAGTGGTCATTAGAGACAGGAAACAATTACATTTGTTTTTTCGTTTTTATTGGTTGGCCGAGTGGCTATAGAGATCACGAGTTGATAAACCACCACTTATCTGCACCTTCCCACACAGGAGCTGGCTCCACCTTCCCACAAAGGAGCTGACTCCACATTCCCACACAGGAGATGGCTTCACCTTCCCACACAGGAGCTGACTCCACCTTCCCATACAGGAGCTGGGTCCACCTTCCTACACAGGATATGGCTCCACATTCCCACACAGGAGCTGGCCCCACCTTTCCAAACATTAGTTGGCCCCACCTTTCTACACAAAGAGTTGAATTTGCCTTCCTACACAGGAGTTGCCTCTAAATATATATCTGTCTATATATGGCAGCCCTTTACCTGTCTAGATTTATACAGATGAAAACCCATAAAGGAATAAATCCTGTTCCATTTCTGAAACTTTTCAGGCATGTTTGCATATCAGCCCCAATTTGTGTAGTGATCAATGATATTGTTAGAAGTGGGCACTTGTGTGGGGTGGCTGGACCACACATTGGCTATAGATAGCAGGCGATAGATCTGTCACTTCCTTCTCACTTCTGTGTAGTCAGACTGGCCTCCTGCTCCCTTCTGATTGTGGCAGGGAGAAGAAAAAACAATTCTCGATTACAAAACAATTAATTTTTTATACCTTGAAGGATTTGTACAGTAAATGTACATGTTTTGTGTTGTAGATGAACCTAAAGAGAAAGTTAACAAATATAAAATTCCAGTATAAAATGGTGCCTAGAACAAAATCACATGAATAAACAGCTAATCAAAATTTTTTCTTTTTATGTTTTTCAGTTCAATCATCCGCAAATTCATCATATGCTTCATCGAAAAGTTCATCTCCTATAACCATGGATACAATGAAGAGAATGTCTGTGTCTCCTCCAATGGCTGCCTCTCCATACCATGCATCCCCACACTCCCAGGCATCACCACGACAACGCAGTCCTCATAATGCCAGCCCCGCCCAGGCTTGGACCGAACATCATGCTGTACCCACTGGTCAGGAAATCCCACTGAATCTCACAAAACCCAAGGCTGAGTTTAAGTTAGAGCATATGGACAATGGGTATGGTATTGGGCATGGAGCACATCCGGAACCAATAGTGACACCTCCACCAGCTCATAGTAACCATAGGCGCCAGACAGCTACATCAACGCCACCTACAGACACAGCAACGTCATTTATGCAGACACGGTCACCCTTTGGCCTGCCCCAGTATGTGACCAGTCCTTACATGATGACAAATCATCTTCCTGTGTCTGCAGTCCTCAACAGTTTGTCCGCCCACTCTCCGCTCCTCAATGGAAAGTCACATTCCGACCTAGAGAAGGTAAATACTTTGTAACCTTGTGTCAGGTTAATATTGTACAATTGGACAAGGATGAAATGAATTGTAACCTTGTAATCAAAATATTTTCAAAAGTTTCAACACCGATGTTAATTCTTTTTGCTATTCAGTGAGTAATTTCTTTTTTAAAATCTCCATTATCTGAAAGATCACAAAGTTAAGCCTTTGATGATCGTGTCTGTTCCATAGCCCTGGTCTAAAATTGAATAATTCTATATGCCACATTACAGACAACATTAAAAAAAAACTTCCTCTCAAAACTGTTAGGGAAGAATTCATGTCTTTGATTTGTAAGTAATTTGTCATGCATTGTAATTTTCGTAGGCCTCATAAATCAACAAAACAATTGGTGATGTTTTTAATGTCTGAAACAAACATTATTGTTAAAGACATCATTTAAATTAGCTTTGATACATTCCGGGGTTCAGGGAGGGGGAGGTAGAAAGATGTGTACATCAAGAGCTGAAACCCAGGAATAAAAAGCTGGGTTGTTATACCGGTAAATGGTAGTACGGTTGAAGTGAAACGAAAAAGATTATTTCAGAGAGAAAAAAATTGTGTCGAAACAATGGACACAAAACACATTTATTTTGCCCAGCCATTGGGGAGGTCCAAATGAGACAAGATTACTACATCTTTGAACAATGCTGTGTGCAGTGGTACAGGAAATGGGATAAACAGAGGCAAATCTTTATATATAAAGCTCGTTTATGTAAAGTCATCTCAACTCTGAGTGTAGCTGTAAAAACCAAGTCAGTCAAAAATATAAATCTCCTTCTTTATGCATACTCTCTTTGATAACTGGAAATTTGATATTCAACAGTTTTGGTATCTTTGGAAAAATCATGGCCTATTTTATGAATACTGGGTATAGTTTCGGCATGATGTGGTAAAGAGCCCTCGTGACACAGACTAAGGGAATCTATAAACATGATATGGTAAAGAGCCTTCCTGACACAGACTAGCAAGACCTCTAGGCATTATCATTAAAATAATTACTATCTTTTCATCCACATAATGAACTTGTACAAGCTGATATGATATGTCGACCATTTAACATGAAATTAAGATTCACCAAAATCTTGGTTTGAGATAAAAACGCTGTACATGTCTGATCTTCCTGATTCCCTTTATAAATGTGGTAGCCTACGATTTGAAATCAACTCCAAATTTCTTAAGATATCTTGGTCTAGCATCGCCATGGTTACAGGAAGTGGCTCTTGAAGGGGTGTGTTGAAGAGCCCTGACAGTTGGGAGATTGTTGTAAGATAATTGTTGTGTTAGCAAGTCTTCGAAGAAAATCCAAACATTTACTGGGCTTGGGTGCATCAGATTGGAAGTTTTAAACGCATAACCACTGCTATAGTGCAATTTTATCTATGCAAAACTAATCGTATAAAAAATAGTAATATACAAGTTAATGTGGAGATTTATCAGTCTAAGGGGAGTAACTCTGGCTAGATTGTTTTGAATAAAATGATCTGCTTAAAATAGACTTCAAAACATGGTACTTTTCAATACATTTTATGTTAGTTATAAACTGCATTACAGAGCTAGCTATATTATATATTTGTTTATACTTTACTATAGCGAAAAAAATGTGTGTATGATGTCACAATTAATGTTGATATTATGAAACTAATTAGTCATCTCATTGTAACCTGACCACTTGTGTGTTGACAGGAGAGCCTGGTACAGGAGGTTTTGGCACGTCAGTTACAACACAGTGTGAGTGGACCAGTATTTCCGGGCCTGCATCTACCCCTGTACACCGGTGCCGCCTTCCCTCAGCTCCCTCAGGTTAACCCAAGCATCAAGGGACGAGCAGATAATTCCCCTGAAGACTCCCCTAGCAACGGTGCTTATGTCCAACACTTACAAAGTAATTGTGCTGTCTTTGGTACTTTACCAAATACTGAGTCACGTTATAAATAAGCCAGTGATGTTTTGAAATTAAAATTCAATATTCATTTTTGGTGTTTAAATGGTACATTTAACTTAGAAAATAGCGATTTTCATTTTAATTTGTTTTTTTAGATTTAATTGATGTAGAAATAACTGTTTCTCTTGATTAATTACAGGTAAGATGTTTGGTGCAAAGATAATTCGTTCCAACAAGGAGAAAAATGACCCATCTCGACCACACATCAAACGACCAATGAATGCCTTTATGGTTTGGGCTCGTGAGGAACGTAGGAAGATCCTCAAGGCATGTCCTGACATGCACAACTCAAACATTAGCAAAATCCTAGGTGAGTCTTGTGAATGGTAGTGACGTTGGGACTTGTCCTGAAACAATATCTGTACATACTGGTAACCTGTTTCCATAGATAATTGTATTTCATTATGTTTGCATTGAAACTGACCTTCTTGTTTACTATTGTAGGAGCTAAATGGAAGGCAATGACCAATGCAGAAAAACAACCGTTTTATGAAGAACAGTCTCGTCTCAGTAAACTTCACATGGAGAAACATCCAGACTACCGATACAGGTAAAGAAACCATCTGGCATGTCGAATTTATCTTGTTTATTTCATAAATGGTGGAATTCAGAAACGTGATAAGATTGAAAGAAATAAAAATAACACTTTAACAAATATCCAGATAGACCCCAGTGTTATCTCTCTTGACGGACAATTCTGTGGGATAAAATTTTGAAACACTTAGGCACAAAGATATTTTCATCACACATTTGGTTTAATGTGAGTGAAACCCTATATTTTGGTCTGTAAACAGAACCTGTTGTCTGTAATTTGGCCATAAAATTATGTCTAATGATCTCATTTCTCCACAGACCCCGTCCAAAACGTACCTGTATAGTTGATGGTAAGAAGTTAAGGATTTCGGAGTACAAATCTTTGATGCGGTCACGGCGACAGGATATACGTCGAGTTTGGTACGGGGATTCGGGCACCACCTATGTGGAAGGACTCTTAGGTACATATTTGGTGTTTAGGGGGCTTGTATAGTTTCAGCAAGATTTGTCTTTTTAATATGCCTTTTTTGGAAATTGGAAAATCTTGGGTAATCATTTAATATTCAACTTCTCATCTACACAAGTCTGGTCTCCAGGTATAGTGTTAACAACAGGAAGTAGAGCATTTATTTGATTATCTTTTTATGTAAATATGTGAAAGAACCATTTTAAAAATGTTGATATCATGAAATGATTATTAGTTACCTGCCTAATACTAAATTTAATCGTTTGTAGGAGAGCAGTCACCCAATGCTGGTTTCGAGGGGGAGCAAAAGTTAGCTGGAACTGATGGTGTGGTTGGATCCCGAATGGAACACGGAATGTTAGGGGAGTTAGTTCCCGAGGGGGACAGTAGTGACAATGATGACTACAGTGATACTATGGAACATCTGTCTGACGTCAGCCTTGACACGCCCATGTCGCTAGCGCCGGGTAGCTCGACACCTTTCAGACCAGGACTCAACTCTCATCCCATTGCTGCCACGGCAACAACATCATAGCTTCCAATGTATCATCATTTCCTTCTACAGACATAAATGGCAGCACGGTGAACGTGAGATATCATACAAGAACTTAGATGCTGGTGAACTTGTATTTATGAGAACGAAAGATTTTTGTGATTCTTAATGGAAGGGGCCTCGATCTGTGTAATCCTTGTATGTAGTGATCAAATGTGACACCTTATAGTGTTATTATAGAGTCCTCTTCATCAAAATCCAATAGAACAAGGCCATCCAATACCATCTGACACTGTTATTACTGGTGGGCTGCACAAAACAAATGTAACGGACATTCCAAATACACCTTGCCAAGAGACACAACCCTTATTGTGAGTCAAACAGACATTTCGTGAAGTACGAGTCAGACATATATATATATGCTTAACTTTTTATTTAGTGGTTCTGAGTCTGACAAACGTTTGACTTTACTAATTCTGGGTCAGACAAATGTTTGCATACATAGTGCAGAGTGGTGTTGCCATAGTGACATGGTGCTAGATGGTCTGTAGATTTATAATAGATGTGTGTTGTTACGGATAGTAGGATGTCTGTCTAGTGATGTTTGTTGGTGGGTGGGGGGAAGCTGTTAAATATAGATTTGTGAGATTGGTAAAGTGGGATATGCTGGTAGATTTAAGGGACGGGTAGGGTTAGATTTCAGGGAAGGTGCAGTGGGATGGGTTTTGTATAGAGAGACAGGTTGTGTATGCGAGGTGACTATGTTAGTTGTGATAATGCTTGAGAAGCCACCATAACATCCATCCAGCCAGTCAAAATAGCAATATATATTACATATATATATATATATATATATACTCGTCGCTTATAAATATGTATTTTCATGGCCATGACGATGTCCACAGACGGGACTTAACACTCTGTATAGTTTATGTATGTGACTGTAGTATATATGTTTAATGGTAGACAGGACCACACATCACTGGTTCATTTCGTTCCACTGCCTAACCAATCATAATCAGTTTTAACTTATATATTGCATACTTCTACATGATTGGTGGAGGTTTTCCATCAATCGCATCAATGTAACTATCCAATACTGGGTCCAAGATCTACTAATATATCATCCAGAAGGTTTTTTTTTTTTTTTGTCTCTATTTTTTTTTTTTTTCTTAGTATGACTTGATGATATTTTGTTAATTGTTATTGTTTTAAATGTTACAACCTTGGGAAGAACTGTTGCACCCTGGGACACCTTATTAGGCAATGTGGTACTACTCACTGTGTAAGAAGCTGCTATCCTCTTTGACAAGATGAAGCTTCCCATAGAGTTCCAAGTTGTGGCTTTCTAGGGCACATTCATTACATAGGCACTGTGGTGCTTTCCCTCCAAATACCGACCTGTAGCTTCCTAAACACCTATATGTAGGCAAGGTGGTGTTTTCCTCTGAAAACAGTAACTGCTTTTCAGCAATGAAACATCGCTGATTGTTATAAACAATATTCCTTGTACTGATTCTTTTTAAGTTAAATGTGTCAGAAACTTTAAAACAGATATCACTGAAAAACTGTTTTGGCCAATGAAATACCAAAATTTAAACTAAAATTGTGGAAGTTGCATCGAAAAATACAATGGCTTTATACCTTTAGAATTATTTCAAACATACCTCTCTTTTCATAATTGATTAGAAAATTTTAAAAATTTGATTTTCATATAAATTTTTTTGTGTTGTCACATGTTAATTATTTTACATTTAGAAGAAAAAGGTAATTTTTAAAAAATTAGTACTACTGCTGAACTCTGCTTGTGGTATCGGTTTTAAGGATCGTGTTAAGCTACATCACCAGCACAAATGTGATGTACAGAGGTTTCCCGTATTGTTATCTCTTGTCACTAGTTACATGTCTGTGAATGTATGTAGTCTGTCAGTTATTTTTTTGTTTCTTGTTATTTTACAAAAAATATTAATTATATAAATCATGTGAATATGTAGAAGTCAAATACAATTTATTATACTTGTAGTTAAGTTGAAATTGACAATGTACTTTTTTTTTATTTTACTTATATATACATTCATTTTTATCTACTTAAGAAAAGAAATATGCCTTATCTGATCAAACACAAACTTTGTGAAATCCATCTGTCAACTACTGCAAAATTCTTTGTCCCTTGATAATGATAATGATGAGCTGCACATTTTGCAAGTTATCTCCCCTTAAGTCTTTAAATAAATTTCAAAATCATATTCAAACCTATGGTTCATTGAATATTTATAATTTCATCAAATCATGCAGACTTAAATACAAATTTTATTTCAATGTTTATGATTAAAACCATATCATGTTATGTTCACATCATTTCCATCCCATAAAATGATTATTTTTTTCACTGGTTAAAATTGCATGTGTGTCTCCCTCTGTCTTATTATTATAGCTAGTCTTTTGACAACAATGCAGTTCACCGAAAAGGTAGTGCTATCAAGTGTTGAACAAAAGGATATATCTTCATGCATATGGTGGTTCAATGTTCATTTAAATACTTCACTTCAGTTTCAGTTTTTACTTGTTAAAATACAAACCTATTGGGATATCATGGGTCTTAATGACAGAAATGTTTTAAATACTGAAATTTTGTATGTTTATGACCTGACACAACTGCCATTGTACAGATATAAATAAAATGGTGCATTTATGTTACAGTAGTTGCCATGGTACCCTCATTACTTTTTGTCCCACTTGACGTTGACTCTGTTGTCATGGTAATTTGATCTCATATACTTTGATGCTGTTGGATATCGAGGCAGAATATAATGCCTCTTTCCCTTGTTGTAGTAGCGCCTTATGTATCCTCGCATAATCTGTGTCATTGCCTTCTCATTTTTATTGCCTCGTTTATAGAAATATATACTACATAAACAAATTTACTGGTAGACCTTAATTATTTATACGGTATTTTTTATCATAGACATTTCAAACAGTGAATATTACAAGACCAAGGCTTGGATTTGTCGCAAACCTTCGGTACTGTTTGAAGCTACAAATAGTCCTTGTCACACCTTACCGCTCCGTTTGTTAATGCTGGGATAGCATTTGTTATATAGTTATTATGGCATGGTTACCTGTTTATTTTGTACCTGACAAGTTTTTATCTTTGACCCACGTACTGAGCAGATAAAAACATTATTGTTAATTCCTTGCTATTCTACAAATTGTCCTGTCATGAGAAACACGGGAACAAAATGAGAAACAATGAGATATGACAAATGCAATTTATTCTTGAACGAAGGAAGATATTGCAGGTTGAGTATATTTGGTGTAGAAGATTAAGAGAATTTGTCCATCAAAGACATGAAATTCCTACTTTTACTTCTCCTGTTTAAATGTAATGACCTTATGACCAGTAATTATTGCTTTCTTGTCTTTCCTCTGCTGTTTTCATGGTTATCATGACAACCTGCAGTTATCATGACTACCTAGATACTTGCATGGTTGTCGTGATCAGCTCTTTTGGTACTAGGTTGTCACAAGCTGTTTGTACACAGTTGGCATGATAAATTAAATTAAAACTCAGTTAAAATAGTAGCTAAGACTGCATTTCCAAGCAATTATTTGTCATTCATTTCTTCAAAGTTTAGGACTTCTATCAAAATTTTCCCTTTTTTATCTGACAAATTAAGAATTTGGTTATAATTCAATTTCATTTACACAAAAAACCCAAATAGATATATATATAGAAAATTTATTGTATTAGAAAAGTTTAAATTGATAATCTTTTATACAATGTAATATGTATACCAGTAGTTGGAAACCTGCAGCAGTCACTACTTAGGTTATCACTCCGATATCAGTCACATGATCAATGGGTGTGGTCACATGACACCTGAAAAGATTGTGGTCTCATCCCATTACTTTGGTGTGGGTGTGGTCACAAGACATAATGGTTGTGGCAACATGTCTTCTGGTTTGTAGGTGTGGCCAGACGACACATTATCAGGAGAGTGGCCACACATTACCTGGTTTATGGGTACAGTGGCGTGTCACTTGGGTCGTGACCACGACTACTAGTTGCTGTCAATTCTAAATGATTTATCTACAAATAGGCTTCTTTTTATTATAGTTTAAGTTATAGATTTGATAAATTGATTGACTTTGTGAGAACAAATTAATAAAATGTTTTATTAAAAGAACAATGTTTTTGTTTTCTTGAATTTTGTGATATACAATGTTGGAGGCAAATTCATTCGATAACTTGACATTCATTTATACAAACCGATGTTTTACCTTATCTTTTGCTCGACTCCTATCTGGGAACATGACGGTCGCCATGACATCCAAAGTAAGCGGGATATTAATTCTGTTTTGTTATTATGGTTAGTGTAGCTTTATATATATGAAGTTGTCAACTTCAATCAAATGTATATCTCCAGTCTGAATCTACTTTTCTGTAAATGCTTAATGTTGAAATTCAGATAGAAAAAAAAAGAGACAAAAACCAAATTTTTACATTTTTTTACCACGAACATGTATATGTGTGTAACAAAAAAGAAAAACCTCCACTGCATGGAATAAAATGGAAAACCAAGTGGACACAGATAAATACAATAACCTGACAACAAAAACAGATGAAATCTTGAACTTTCAGCAAGTATCTGTCTAATATCCATCTTTTCTGAATGTCATAACTTTACAACTCTTTGACAGATATTGACCAAACTTTTGTTTATTTTTGTTTTCATTTCCTTTTCACACTCCAGCACTCACTTTTAAAAGTCAAACAGCTCAGATGTTCTAACACCAATTGTAATATTCACTATGATAAACATCTCGTAATACACAATCAATGTTTGGTACCAGAGAGGTTAGTATCAAAAGCAATGAAATATGATTAAAATGATAATATTTAAAAAAACAAAAAATACCCACTGTCCCTGATTTTTGTTCAATAAGACACAGGAAAGAAAGATTTATTCTTTTTAGCCTTATCATGGTCACAATGATGCAAGTTATTTTCATTTACCAATGCCATGTTACATCGCAAATGAATTGGACTTCATATTTGATTTTCATTGTCTGTCCGTCCGTGGCTTGATTAGATATACAGTATACCCAAGCAATATTCCAACAGAAGAGATGAAGTTTGTCTGGTTGGCTGGGTGAGGCACCGAGCCATCTCGGCTTCGATTCCAAGTAAAGGTATGGGGTCACCTACCCAACCACATGGGTTTTCCCCTACTTGGCATCCTCCCACAGTAAGACCTCCACAATGCTTCCATTTGGGCCAATAAGAGCGATTAATATAAGCTATTAGCTTATTTTGTAATTGTTTTAAGATAGAAATAAAGTTTGTTTCATTTAAATTCCAATCCCAGTAAGATATATCAATGTCAAATTTCAGACATTGTTTTGTCTTGTTGATAAAGGCAGTGTCATCAACTAGCCTGGATCACCAGATATTTGTTTACATTGATCAATATAAAAAAAACTGATATCAGGATTTAATTTGATCAAATTAATTTTAAATATTCACAGAAAACAATCTGAATACATACTTTATAATAGAATTGATATATAAACTATTTATTTTATAACAATTTCAAACAAGTTATTTCAACTTATACTAATCACTCTTTTTTTTTTATCTGAAGATGTTTTAAAAACACCTTGTCACCCTTGATTTTGTTGTGAAGGGCTGGTTGATCACACTAATGAATTCATCATCACAAATATAATGTGACATTTGACTTTAGGGTATCATGGTTGGTACAACTGATCAAAAATTGAATCTCTTCAGGAATATAAATTGTTCTGAAACCATCCCTAAATAGATTAATGTTACGGAATGAAATACTAGCTAAATGTTTCAAGTAGCTGAAACAAGTTAGAAATGAAAAATAGGTTTTAAATAAAAATTATGTTGAATAGAAATAGTTTAGCTTTGAAAATGACTCCATTATAAGGGATTTTTATGTTAATCTGTCACAATTTTATTTGTTCAAAGGAATATTGGCGGGTATCGACTGTTTAAAAAATGGCGGGATGGGGGGGTTGGGGGGGGGAATCGTTAGGATCTTTACTTGAGTTTTGTTCATGGAAAATAGAAAATTCTGTGAGGCTGTCATCATTGATTGTTGTGTAGTTGTACGCAAATGAGAAACAAGAAGGAGTTATATAAAAATTAAGAAATTTGTGTAATGGGGCTAACCAGAGACGTATATATCACGTGATATATACGTCTCTGGGCTAACGCACCTCTCCTGGATTTTTTTTTACTTTTCTCAAGATCAATTCTCTTTCAGTCGCCTCCATGGTTTAACATAACAAGATTTGGTGCTCTAGAAAGATGAAGGTATTCTGCTTCATTGATGACACCTGCTATATAGATCAAATATCGGTCAATCCAATTAAGTTATATCACATTCTCAAACCTCTTGAACCTCAAATGATAGCAACAGTTCTGTACGGAACGACTCTAGCATGTATTCACTCGAAACACAAAGGGTTATTTCTGTTACCTGGGGCCACCATAACCCGTTGTCGCTTCCAGGAATGTGTCACCTCTCCAATATGACAGAGTTTGGCCAGTGTCCCAGGCTCTATAACTCCGCTACATACCGTGACCGAAGGTTTCGTCTCAGTGGCATGGAGTTGTATATGTATATTCTGGCTTTTCCAAAGCCTTCTCATGACTTCTCATATATATGTATACTATTAAATGAACCAATTAGAGATTTCGAAACTACTAAATCATTTATGCTATGCATAATCTTAATTTGAAAATAAGTACGTCTACATTTGTTTCCAAGAAGCGAGATATTGTACAAGTCCGGTGTGTCAGTCTTATTCGGTTTCGTCGTTCATTTTACGTTGTCGTGTGGCCAAAGGGAGGTAACTACTACAGCGATCTTTGAGACTTTCTGATACCTGAACGACTCCCTCGCTGAGGTAAATTCGGTTAAAACTATTAAGGGTGTTCTATTTGTTATCCTGTATATCT